TGTTCGGGGGGGTGCTAACACTTAACCCTAAACGTTATCGTTTACTTTCTCCGTCTTTATATGTAGATATTACTTTTCTCCGTTAATCTCCGTCACGTTGTTTCCATAGCAACCACAACTTCCTGTCAACAGCGCTACCTCTCCTTCAAAATAAAAGCATGTCCATAAACAGGAAGCCAAGCCAAATTACACTTAAGACATATACAACTGCAATGAAAGTAACAAACACAAAGCGATATCCTTTTCCATTTCAAAGAACACAAATTGGGTTACTAACTATAAAACAACAATACTGTGTAGAATAACAAAATGAATGCCGTGAATACACCAAAATACACGCGTTGAAGCGTTTCGCTGCTGATTACTACGCCTTGATTGGCAGACGCCCATTTACTTTGTGGAAAACAGTCTAATAGCCCGCTGCAGGGAGACCAACCAGGAAGTCAACCAATGGGAGTTTTCCATTAGATTCCAGATTTTTGCAGAAAATAAGGGGAAAATGGGAAAATAAACATTTATGACACTTTAGCGAGATAATCTTCACAAATTAAAGATTTTTTTATTTTAAGATGTCTTGTGTTGGCTTCATGCCTTTGTCATATAATGCAGCCAAAGATTGACAGGATAGGGGGACTTTGGGATGAGGGAACCAGAGATGCAAAAATGTTGAGTTAGGGTTCTTGTAAAGCGACCTTGGGTCCCATGAAAGGCGCTATATAAATCTAAGCTATTATTATTATTATTATTATTATTATTATTATTGAAAGAGGAAGAACAGGGTGCCGTCCGGGTAAGAAAAGAGAAACGATGAAGCTGTGTTATGCGTGCGGTACTCACCCCCTCCACCAGGACGAGCTGTTTGCTGCCCACCAGAGCAGCGTTGACCCTCGTTGCCCCCTCCCTGAAAACTGTGATACACTCCTGCAGTCTGCGCTGCTTCACCTCCGCCGGAACGTCATCCTCCAGACGGTGGTAGGCCTGCGTTTTCTGAGGAAGGAAACCACAAGGACGGTAAGGTTAGAATCTCGATCATTGACGGAGCGACTGAAGAGAACAGCTTGGATTTCATTGTGAAATGGGACGTAACGGACCTTCCTCATGCTGTAGGCGAACAGGAAGCCCACGTTGTAGCCCACCTCTCTGATCAGAGACAGGGTCTGCAGGTGGTCCTCCTCCGTTTCACCACAGAACCCTGAGATGAAGTCACTGCTGAGACTCACCTCTGAAACACATTAACACAATCATTCATGTTAAACACATACCACACACTTATCTATTAAGACGACGAGAATAAGAAAGAAAAGGCCTTTAGGAGATAGCTGGGATTTAATAAATAAATTGTATTTTATGAAGTCAGGCTAGTGTTATAAGATATTACTCATAGTGTTATCTAAAGACGTGTGACGAATGAACAAAGCTGTAAGTAACAAATAGAATTTACTTATAATCTCATAAAGTAAATAAAGGAGTCCAATGGAGGCGCTTGAGGCAGTGTGTGTGGGAGGGAAAGGGAACACGGTGATTTTAGCCTTTGTAGACCCTTTACATGCACTAAAACCTTCATGACACACGACAGGAAAAAACATAAAAGAACCTCTTTAGAGAAACAATATATTATTACATATATCTTACCTGGGACAATTCTCCTGATGTTCTGGACAAGATCAAGGTAGGCCTCTCTAGTGTAGCTGCGTATTTCATAAGAGAATACATTTTATTAAACAACTTCCTGACATGTTTAAAGGGTTAGAGGTTAGAGTTCCCCCAAAACCTTTCAAACAGAATTGCTTTGATGATTTAGTTGTAGTTTTCTTACCCACGACGCATTGCTTTGAGGACCTTGCTACTGCCGCTCTGAGCCGGGAGGTGGATCTGTGTGCAGATGTTCCCTCGCTCCGCAATCAGATGAAGAACCTTTGAAAGCACAGAGCACATTAGGACGTCTGTACACTGCACAAAACAAACCCTATAACACAGAGGAAAGGGAAACCCCCAAAAAGCATTATAGGGCCTCTTTAATACATTTCATCGACGCTCATCTGTACATTTCTCCTTAATTCACCCACGGTTCTCATTACATAACTCCTGATTTGACTATTTAAAGGCTCTAAAATCAGCTGTTCAGCCCCATTCACCTTTAATGTGTTCAGTTGAGTGATAACGTACCTCATCGGGGAAGTCTTTGGGGTGAGGGGAGGTGAACCTGACCCTCATGTCGGGGTCGATGCGGGACACTCGGTCCAGCAGGTCAGAGAAGCGCAGGCCTCCCTCTTTCCTCCTGTAGACGGTCTGGAAGCCCTCGCTGAGCCGGGTCGCCCCCGAGCTGCAGAGCTGATCCTCCGACGCGTCTCGGTAGCTGTTCACGTTCTGACCCAGAAGAGTCACCTCCTTCACGCCCTGAGGACAACACACACACCGTGTACATGTTAGTGAAGGAGAGCAGGGATCAGTTAATCCACTAATATATGCAACTCTGGGAAGAATAAGAAAGGACTGCGAAAAACTCACTTTCTTATATTTCTGACCTTCTTGTCCCCTATTCTGCTGACCAATCACTGCTCTTCATTTCAACGTACTACTTTAAATCCAGGGGATAGTTTTCATTCATTTAGCCTTTTCAGTGGCAGCTCCTAGGCTCTGGAATTCCCTAAGACCCCTTTCTTTCTTTTAGGTGTTTGCGGTTAAATCATTAAAACAATTATAAAATGTGCGTCTACCCTAAAAGCCCAGATACACCGGCCCGAAATCGGCAGTAAATGGGAGTCAGGCCGAACATGAGCGTGGGCACGCCCTATTCGGAGTGGTGTGCGCCACACAGTCGGTTCTTTTCTGCCGACCTGACGCCTTTTCTTGCCGATTCAACATGTTGAATCGGNGCCATTATCTCATCAAATATGTGCATATTTTAACACATTTCAGGAATCGAAATCTGAACTTTGGATAAAGCCAGGTTCAAAATTCTTGTTTTATTTTGTAGTCATATTAGTATCTAAGGCTTTTACAGAAGGGATTTTGGATATCTCTTTTTATCACTCCATAAATCAGAAAATACTGTCAACAGCCCTAAAATATCAATTTTTGCCATGTTTTTAGGTTACAATGTTGTATAATTCAGGCTATGAATGATATATGAACAAACCCTTCTGTAAAAGCCTTCATAATATTGATAGGAATATAACTGGAAGGTTTGGTGTGTCTACGTGCTACTGAAGTTGAAATTTTGAACTCAGAGTAGGAGAAAAAACTCATTTTGAGAAAACGACCTTTAAAGATTGCAGTGAGGCGCTAGCTAAACCCTCCTGTTCTTTGGATGACAGCTTGCGCCTCGACCCCTTTGTGCTTTCACGATTGGTTGCTGATACAAAGGAAATGACCATATTTGGATCCGATGAGATTGTGCAGGAGAGACACAGCTTTCTAACGATATCTCTGTTGACATGGTGCACACAGCGGTCGCGGTACTTTATGTTACGTTAGAAAGCTAACTTTTGGTGAATTTAGGAGAAATCTACTGACGCAAATAGACAAACTATAGTCAAATAAACACTTAAATGTGTATTTTGTACGTTTTCCTTCCAAAAGCCTGAAAGAAACATGTTATAGAATCAAAATAGCACAAAATCTCAAAATTGACCAGTGCTTGAAAAACGATGTTTTTGCCTGCCGTGTCTCGCCTTAAATCATTAAAACAATTATAAAATGTGCATCTACCCTAATGTTAACTCAATTAAAACAAAACAATTATGACCATTATGCTATAAAATGTCTGATAAAGTAAAACTTCTGATGGATGATGTAATATTATTTTCATGTTAAGTCCAGAGCTCAAAAATGTTGTGTTTTCAGATTGAATACATTGGCCTTTTGCACATTGCACATCACCGTTTCGCAGAATGTTTGAGGAAAGGCCGTAGCATTGCTCTCAGAATCAGAATCAGGTTTATTACCAGGTAGGTTGACACGTACGAGGCATTTGATTTGGTGTCGTGGTGCATGCATAAAAGTAAAACAAAAATTAAAAACATAGGTAGAGAACTAGAAAAATATAAAAATAATAATAATATAGAGTCAAAAATAACAGTATTTACATGACATGACATGGGATGGAATAAAATATGGAATAAAAAATCGGCAGTAATAAAAAAAGAAAACTGTGCATGTCTACTTGTAATAAAGAGGTGGTGTGCAGCTGTATTTGTTCTGTCAGCTCTTGCCTGGTCAGAGAGCATCCGGACCTCCTCCAGGATGGAGCTGATGGGGCGACTCCTCTCCCTCCCCCGGGTGAAGGGGACGATGCAGTACGTGCACATGTTGTCACAGCCGCGCATGATGGAGCTGCCGGCAGGAAGACACAGGAAATCATCTGAGTCAGAATCAGAATACCTTTATTAGCCCCACAGAGGGGACATGTACATTGTTGCAACAGAAAAGAGCCAAAGACAGCTTCATGTTACCTAAGAAGCATGCATAAGAAAGTATTAAAGTTATAATAAAAAAAGTTACAATTTACAAAATATATATCCTGTAACAGTTCTGAGGATTTAGCAGCCAGGTATATATATCGCAGAGTTTTTAACGGTATATTTATATATTGCACATAGTTGGTGGTTAACAACAAGGAGGGTTATAGTCTGTGTTGTTGTGTGTGTGTGGGGGTCTACCAGGGGCCGTGGTGGTCAAAACATCTGAGGTCAAAGTTACCTCTGAGTGTGTGATACAAACAGGAAGACTGAAATGCCGTTTCTCCCCATCCAAAAGATTAAAATATACAAGAAATTGTATTTTTGTTTAATGACCTACAGTAACGGCACGTCCACACAGCAGCGTGCGTTGAAAGCTTCACCATTCACTTTGAATGGGGTGACGTCGCTTTTCGCCAAACTGCATTGTGGGAAGCGACGCGGAGCTTTGCTGGCGTGGCTCGCTGCAAAAGTTGAGCAATGTTCAACTTTTGAAACCTCGGTAGAAGCGTCAGCCAATCGAATCATATGCCAGTACAAGCTCTAGCCAATCAAACCGCTGCTTGTGTGTCAGGGGCGGGAGATTCATGTGATTGGTTGTTGGTCGAGTTTCAGACACGCCCGCCGGCAAGCTTCAAAGCACGCCGCCGTGTGGACGGGCCGTAAGTGTCAGCCATGATAAGAGCTGTTTGGATTCTCTAAGATAGGAAAGGAGCTTCAATGCTTCCTTTATAATCTCTTTACTTAGGAAACACTGGACCATCCTTAACGAGAGGAAAGGAGATAATGCTTTCCCACAAGATAAAAATGACAATATTATGTGGATATGAATCCTCCAGAAACACTCACACAAAAGCACTGTTCCCGTGCGTGGAGTGGTGGACGGGCATGATGTCAGCGTAGGTCTCCTCTAAGGACAGCAGCACGTTGCTGGCCTGCTGCCCTCCGTCAGCGACCGTCAGCAGGCGGGGGAGGTCTCTGTACGCGTCTGGACCGGCAAGGACGTCCACCAGCTTCTCCCGCTCCAGGAGCTCCGTCTTCAGCCTCTCTGCCATGCAGCCTGGACCAACACAGCCATTATTACATATCTCATAGTCTCTGTAAGAGTGTGAAAATGGCTTGATTTCAGTCAACAATCTTACCTAAAATCCCGATTTTCATTGGAGCGAGGCTCTTTTTCCGTCTCTTCTTCATGGCTGTTAGTTGTTTTAGTCTGTTCCAAATAGTTTGTTCAGCTTTTTCTCTGTTAAGAAAGAATTTGGTTAATTAGTTAGGAATCGTATTTAGTTTGAATGGTTGTATGGAAGCCTTGAAATGCCAATGTTAGTCAGGTTAACCCTTATGCCCCACTAGGGATAGTAAACGGTGTAGAGAAAATACCCACACTAAGAACTTAAAGGAGGACAAGAATATCCCCAAAAAGTTGTAGATGTGTGTTTCAGTTTGCAATGTGGGTCATTTTCCTGGTTTTCCTCACAACAATAAAAATACATAAATTGAAATATCCCAGACCGTGAATAACTGTCCATAGAATTTATTTATTTTTCCAATGTGCAAAACAATGTTGCCATTATATTAACTCACTGACACGGAAAGGGTTGAAATTCATACAAATGTTTGGTGGATATCCTCAGAAAGTTGGTTAATGTGTTAAACTCAGTTACATTTACTATTTGTTAATCTTCTATTTCATGTTTTATCTACATGCTGCTGTGACGAAACACATTCCTAAATAGGGATCAATAAAGTATACCAAATCTAATCTAAGTGGAAAATACTAAAATATAACATTTTATGGCGGGTTTTTTTTTAATCAGAGGACAACTTTTTTTTTTTTAAAGTGAGGCATAAGTGTAACATTTAAAACAGCATTTTTCGCGTTATTCCTAAAATCATGACATTGCCTTACCTTATGGAGCATGTCACCAGGAGAACAACGTCTGCCTGTAAGCACAACAATATCATTAGTTAACTGTGTGGACATAAATGGTGTTTAATTGTTTTATTTCTCTTGAATACCTCATTTAACTCCACTGTGCGGAGGTATCCCTTCCTCTGCAGGATGGACCAGGCTATCTCCGTGTCGTTCACATTCATCTGACACCCATAGGTCTCAAAATACACTGCGATGCGAACACAAATATCCAGTTCAACAGTGATAACAGACATTTAACGTTTAGTTTTAATACTTTTTATTTTGGATTCATTAAACAGATGCACTTTGTTCAGAATACCAACACATGTGTTTACATATACCATAGGCAAATCACATCAAGGAAAAACTAAGATAAAACAAAAATACAAAGGAAAAATGTGCTTAACCATAACCAAACGTTTAAAATGAACTCATTGGTGATGCAGACACACCTTTCCGTGAGTTTCCCATCTCCAGGTCCTCAGACAGATAGCTGTGATTATCATAGAGATCTTCATCTGCAGCAAAGCTCTTCTTCACTGAGGCTCCTTTGATAAAATCCTGAAAACTTGGCCCACAGGATAACTGACTCTTGAACGCATCTACATTTGACTTCGTCTCCTTGGAAGTGACACTAGTGTTGGCTAATTTAGAACAATATCTGGGTCTAACACCTCTGTGGGGTCTCCAGTGTTGCAGGATAGTAAACATGGGTTTCCTGAGGGACTCCATGCTCAGTTAGCTAATGGTAGCTACAGGAGCTTTGCAGCTACTGTAGGATGTAGCTCTGACTGAACAACCATATCGTTTAGTTAGCTACTCCTAACGTTATTAAAGTAGCTTACTGCATGTATAGTTGTAATCTTTTTAAATAAATGACTGTGTAAGTGCTAGAAGAGTTGAGTAAATGTCATTCAGCTTCTCATGTGTGGCCAAAGATGTCTTCGTACCAAGAAGAATATCTGCCATTTCCAAGATGTCGTTATATCAACCAGGAAATAACATTGAGCTGTTAAAAACGATAGGTGAAAAGGTACATTTGTATGAACATGTATAGCATAACTACCTCGACATTAATTAATGACATTTGTATTTGATATTAGTTGGCTTTATTCAGGTACACGGGCGTAAAATGATGCAATTGTTAATCGTTTTTTGTTGTTGTTGTATTATACAGATATGCCGTCATGTCAGGAGGAACTAATGTATTTTCCTACTTAGGCATTTTTATTATTACACTGTTTATTAATATTCTGAAGTTCATTTTAGTTAAACAATGATGGTAAATGTTGAGGAAACGGTCCTGTTTAACAAAGACGGAAGTACGGGCAGAGAATCATCTTGCATCTCCAGAATCCGTTAGCCAGAGATGTCCCCGAGTACGTCCATCTTCAGGGTCCGTCTAAAATAACCTCTTGACGTAAAACATAGTTCCGCAAGTCAGCAGAGGCTTCACAGTGAGTTTTTAATAAATCAACTCCTGGAAACTTAGTAGTAATAACATTTAAAACATGTCACACTTTGCTTTTCAATGTATGGTCCTAAACTCAGGCCAAAGGGGAATACATAATAAAGGATATTAACTTATCAAACTATCATAATGACATCATTAAAGGTAGGGTAGGTAATTCACTTCAGAAACACTTGTTGTTATATTCCATGGAATGCTCTTAAAATCCCGATAGCAATGAATACATGAAATGCTTTGACAATAAATACATTAAAAAATGTCATCTGTGGAAGCCGTGGCGCTGTAAAAAGCAACAACCAATCATCTGAGCCGGCCCAGCTAAAATAACTGGATGGCCTACCTGCCTGTCAGCCTTCCATCTGTGCACAAAGGGGCTCTGTAAGGAAGTCTGAAGGAAGGGGCAGATTTTTTTCGGCTGCGTACTTCTAGCCATTCTTACCTACCCTACCTTTAACTAACGTCTTTTCATTAGGAAAATGTCAAATACATAATCTATTTAAACTACTACTATTGTTTTGAAATAGCTGTGCATTCTTTCTATTTCATACCAAATCCAAACATTGTTTTAATGTCCAGGACACTATATATTTATCTATTTATTTTCTGGTTTCAATGTATTTGTATTTCATTGAGAGGCAACAGTTGTACACACTTAATGCATAAGATAATTAAGTGGCTGTCAAAATTACTACAAAATTCATTTTCCTACACATTGTGTAAACCATATATCATTCTGTCAATTATAATAATCATTTTGTATACATTATTTATTCTCAATCTTAGTTTTTTTTGCCAACCATTTGTTACACACTGTGGACGGTCCCCTCAGGAGCAATTTGGAGTGAAGTGTCTCTCCCAAGGACACAACGACATGCTGACTGCAGTGGGAAGAGAGCAGAAAGTTCAAGGATACAGAAAGAAAGTGTGTGTGTGTGTGTGTGTGTGTGTGTGTGTGTGTGTGTGTGTGTGTGTGTGTGTGTGTGTGTGTGTGTGTGTGTGTGTGTGCGCGTGTGTGTGTGTGTGTGCGCTTGTGTGTGTGTGTGCGTGTGGTGTGGGAGTGACGGGCAGCTACAGGTCCAGTATAAACTGACCATGGACGTAGGTATAACAAACAGTCCTGCCTTTTCCTGGCAGAGTGAAATGATGACAGCGGAGGGCTCCAAATAAAAAGGACCTGCAGGGACGCTCAGAAGTGACTCAAACAAGGTACATTCAATTCAATGTAGACGTAGTGTCAAAGCTTGGACAATTCCCAACATTTTGTAGATGAAATATGTTCCTTCATACATCTCTGCCTGCTGTAACTTCAGAGCCTCCTGCAGAGCGATAAGTCTGTTTCAGGGAAACTGTGGCTTCAGCGTTTTTTCTAATGTAATTTCTACTCTTGTCATTTATTCTGGCTGTCCCTTCTTCTCCAGGACTCGCTGTGAGGATGGAGAAAGCTGTGCTGCTGCTGTTTTGTTGCCTGGTCATGTCTTTATCAGGCTCCCCTCTCTACCCATCCATTAGGTAAGTCCTCACGCATTTTACTTCCATTATTTACCATCAAATTATTTTCTTCAGTGTTGTTCACATGTTTTAGAACTGGTAAACTCAGCTGTTAAGATGGGAAGATGCCCAACGATAAAGGTAACAAGATGTTAATCATAAATGGTTTCCCAGATTCAGAGAACAGCTGATGTGGTTAGAAAGCGTCATCAAGTGAAATGGACATCTTTTAAACATTTCAAAGCAGAAAACTAACACCCGGACCGAATTTGAATAATTCTGGGGATAGCTAAACATGCAACAATTAAACTGGCACACCAACGCTTCCTCTCATACTTGAAATGTATCCCAACAGAGTCCCACTATTGAAATGATATGACTCACAGACCTGATGGGCACACCTCGAGGGAATCCGATATCTGATTAAACACAAGTTAAAATATGTTTTGATGTGAGGCAACCTGAACAAACGGACATGAATCTTAACTGCAATCTGGGGAGGGGGAGATAAGGGAGAGTGATGCTGCTCAGGGATAAGAGGTGTTTCTAAAAGCATTTTCTCTTTTCAATATTGTATTATTTTAAGTTAAGCACCAAAAGTATGTACATTAATTGGATTTAAAAAAATGTCCTGTTGTTATTAGAGTTTTAGATGGTAGAAGTACTGCTGATATTTAGTTAATTTATTTGTATGAATCATTATTATACATTTTGTTGTTATTTGATGCTATGTAATACAAAAATTGTCCATTATTTTATGTTTTCAATTATTGTTATTATAATTTTTATTATTACTGTTATTATTATTTGTGTTGTTATTGAAGATGTTATTAGTGGAAGTAGTATTATTGATATTATTATTTTTAATAAAAAATGTGCCTGACTTCACTATTAATATTACTATTATTTTATTATATAAATATTATTATTGTTATTGTGGTTTTTAGTATTCATTTTTGGTTTTGTCCTCATTTTTGACTTTTATTTGATTTATTTATTTTTTAAATCTATTTGATTTCTATTCATTACTTTTCTCTTGTGTCTTTTGAAATGAAATGTGTTTAAATGGAAAATAAGCCCAATAAGATGGACCTTTATTTTAAAGCAGCAACAGAGTGAGGGTGAAAAACAGGACGGTAGACAAGAGGATAATACAATACAAAATAACATTATATAAGTAACTTTTAAAACGAGATATCAAAACAAGGTTGATAATTTAATGAACATATTTACCTATTGGACATGGATTGTTAGATATATTTACGTGTATATGTGCAGATGCCATTGGTACAAACAGTGCAGATTGTATGTACACATCCATGTTTTGTGGTCTTGATTCCTCTCCATAAGAAAGGATTTGATCCAGACAATGTACAGAATGTAAACAAGAGGACAACTGAAGGTGAGGGACAGGGACTTGAGCATCGTGTCGGGCTGAAGGAGCTGGATGTTCGTTTCTCTGCGTCTGAGGCTCTCCTCGTGTCAGAGCGCTGCCCTCTGCACTTGTTATGCTAACGAGGGTCAAGATGTGCGCATTAGTCACTGCGTTGCGTTCACGCAGGACTTTAATTACAGTCCTGCTGCGTCGAGGCAGCAGAATAAATCACCCCGCGAGAGAGAGAGAGAGCATTTTACTGTGAGACTGAGGATATTGTAATAATCAGACTTTTGAGTATATGGTTTTATTTATTAAGCTCCAAAATGATTGAAATACCTAGAAATATTACAGAGGTAGACCTTTTTAAGTGACTGCAACATCTTAGCTTTAGTTATTAATATAACCTTCCTATTGGTCTGTATTTGTCATTGTAGTAATAATTATAATAGTATTTATTAATTGAGTCTTATTTCTGTCTCACTTTTACCGAGTGTGTTATCTTTTGTTATCTTTTGGATGATTTGATTGCATTTTGTCTACCTTTATTAATATCATTATTATTGTTTGTAATTATTTTCATTTATGTTATTTGCTTATTTATTTATTAGATGTTTTTTTATGATTATTAATATTAATATTATTATTATTATTACTACACTCATTTACGGAAAGGGAAATTACTTTTTAATATTTTATTGTTATTTGCTTTCAAAGCATCTTTGAGCACTATATGAAAAGTGCTATTTAAATATATTTATTATATTATTGTTATCTGTTATTATTCCTCAGGTTTGGCAGAAGGGACACCTCCATCCTGATGACGTCCTCTTTAAAGGATCCGGCAGATCAGCTGGTGGACGACTCAGGAGAGTCAGCGGGGTCACGGTCAGTTCCTTAATACAGGACGTCTTACTGTACATCAAATACACACTGTTTTCACAATAACTTGTTACCAGAACAGGTACATGTAAGTATATTTCACAATCTGGACTCAAATATGTATGTTCATTTAATTAATTTCTTATGTTGACAGTTACTAGCTACCTGTATATAATTGTAATTTTAATGTAATCTTTAATTGTATTAATCTTGTGTGAATCTGTGCTGTCATGTTTTTCACTCACTCTGTTGCTGCTTAAACTCCACGGGGATTAATAAAGTTCTATCTTATCTTGTCTCTGATCAAAAATATGGCTTCAAGAGTTGCTTTAATTACAAAAAACCTAGTTGTATTTGTTTTTTAAGATGTCTGCCTCCACCCCGACACAGTAGAGGTCAACAGACCCACAGTCATCTGCATATCCCTTCAGATACAGGTGTAAAGGTCACTGTGAATAATTTACAGACCTGCTCTGAACAGTTTTTAGTGGCTCCAGAGAAAGGTAAAATCTGAACCATCTGCTAGGCTGTTGAAAACATTTGCTTGTTTGTAACTGGACTGTAGAACAGATGTGTTGTTTTCATGTTGCTCACTTTATTAGCTTTTCGAGACGACAGCAGCGTAACAACGGTCTCCTTGTCCTCTTTGTGTTTTTAGCTCGGGACGCCACGCTGACGCCATATTCACCAACAGCTACAGGAAGGTCCTGGGACAAGTCT